GTAAAATGTTTTTAAGAAAGTGATCTCAGAACAACCACTTTAATAGTACCTAATAATGAAATGCTTATTAGGTAGCAAGAGGCAGCAAGAGGAAAAAGTGATAATATTACGTCTACCAGCAGAGCAGAACAATCCAAACATTCCTCTACACTTTGCAGCTGGAAAGGCTTCTAATTTGTATGAGATTTTATTTACTTTTTTTCTGGTTTGGGCTACATCTGATATAAAATTACATTTTAATCACCTATGGTGTGCCCACTGATGAAGTGTCTTGACTTTTAAAACAAAGTTTTTATTTATTTGACGTGTTCCAATAGCATCTATCATTGTATACCTAGGATAAAGAAAACAACTACAGTGTATTTCAAGATCATTGTAGACCCAAGCAATTGTAAGCAAAGGCATTTGGCAAATTATGAAACCAAGTGTCAGTGTTTCTCCATGTGATGAAAAAGAAAGGGATTGACTTGGATTTCAATTTTTTTCCTTAATCTGTTTTGCCCTTTTATTGGCTAAGTGAACCAAATAGACATTATAGACTAAAGCTGACTTTCACACTGAGGCATCAAACATTTACTGATTTGAGGACATGGACTGAAAGGAGAAATATCTTTACTAACTGTAAATGCTGGACTACAGAAGAAGCTTAGAAGAAGTCTAAGCAGTGAAGGCTTTTCCTCGCCAAACTGGATCCACTGCAGCTGTGGACTACAAATATAACTATTCCATTTACCTCTGCCCTCTAGAGCGAATGATGAATTCTGCCCCTGCTCCACTTTGCAGATCAACTCTAAAGCAGTCTAATTAGAAGCAGACTATAACAGACTACTCTGGATATGATTTAAACTCCGTGTTACACTGAGAGCTTAAAGAGGCTCAAAAAAACAGCATGCCAGCTGTAAATCAAGGTATAATTTTTTTTTTCTCACTGAAAGATTTAATTTATTACCTCTCATTCAATAATGTCCAAAGCAGTCTGCTAAGGCAGACTGTTCTTTTTATGAAATACTACAAAGGCAATTTTAAAACATTCTAGCAACATGCTGCGCTGTACTAACCTGAGCAGTTGGCTGAAGCTCAAGGTCTTGCTGATTGCTTTGGCCCGGAGAAGAAATCAATGGAAGAGCTGTCTGCTTTAGACATAATCCTCAATGTACACTGTATTACCTCAAATTGTTTCCCTCAAGCACAGAAGTACTTGAACCCAGATTCAGAGAGGAAGAGAAAGGAGAGTAGGTAGCAAAACAACACACCTTTAAGAGTAAGTTACTGGTACCTTTCTATCTTCATTTGCTTACGGATTTATATATTCATATGAGTAACTTCAAGCATTACTTTTTTCTCTACACAAGAAAAGAGAAGGCCAAAACACAACATCAAAAAAGTGAAAGGTGGATTCTCTCGTCCACATTTTCAGGTTTACTATCCTGCAGCCATCTGGGCTGCTAGCTGCGGAGAGGACTGGTTTGCAGCACTTGTTAGCTCAGCTGGGTGATCATGTCCCTCTCTATTGAGATTATTGACAGTTAAAGAGTACTGACAGGTTGGGCAAGAAAGGTGAGGATAATGTGGGTCTGTCTCTTCACTGACAGCTGATAAATTCCTTGTGAACAACCCAACCTGTAGAGCTGTTGAACTATGGTGAATGCTCAGGTCATAGTACCAAGGTAGTCTCATCTTTCAGAGGTGTCTCCTCATAGAAATGAGCAGAATCTCTGCATGGTGATAACTGTGGTCAAAAACATGCTCACTGTCATTTGGGCCAGCTGCACATTGTCAACAGGAGTGCCAGGAACATAGAAATAGGGTCCATAAGCAGAGCATTAATTTCTTTTTCTAGAAAAGGAGGGAAGTTCTGAGGCAAAAAAATAACTGGCGATCATATTCAGAAATAAGCAAGAGCTGAATAGATTACTACCCTTAATGTTAAAAAAATAAGTTCCAATAACTATCTTCAGATGCTTCATACCTCCATCACTAAAGAAGATATGAATGTTTACATTCTAAAATTTTCCAAAATAGGAAAAACTTTTAGGAAGTGGCATATACCTGTAACACTTGGCCAACTCTTCTTTCTGCTATTAAAAATTGTCAAAACAGACAAAATTCAAGGGAGTCAAATCTCAAATATTGTCAGCAGGTTGTCTAGTGGGTGAACAAGAAGCCTATTCAGAGACCCTATAAGATGCTCCACAATACCCAGCTCCAGCCAAAAACAAGATTTCTGTCTTTGGAGTGTTGCTGTGCTGTCCATCTACCTTTTTGGCTCAAGCAAGCACTTGAGCAAGCACTGCTAAGGATCTTTGTGCTTCACATACTGTGGGCTCATTGAACTTTACTTTTCCTTTCAATTTACACTTGTGATATATTCTTGTAGCTTACTTTTACACATATCCTGAGTAATTGATATTTTTAATCAAGCTACCAAACTCTTCATCACCCCAGATAATTGAGTGTTGAATGCAACAAGAAAATGATAATACAGAAATGAAAGTTCACTGACTTGTCCATACTCTACTAAGGTTAAGCACCTGATCAGAATGATGCTTAGCTGAAAGCATCATTACAAAGATATCTATGCTGAAAATAACTGCTCACTTACCTATTCAGTTGACGTGGAGTGCTTCCAAACCTAGCAAGGCCCCAGTAGAAGGCAGGACCTGATAATAAATATATGACTCTGGCTGAACCAGAATGAATAGGGAACTTAGGCTATCAACTGAAATGTACTTTATTTGCAATATCTGTGATTCCAGAAGCTGCAATCACCGCATGCTAAAATGGGATCTCCATCCACATGACACATCAGCTCTGCTTTCCTCTCCCACACTGTGTCACAGTTCCTGTGATTACAGACCTTCTGACTATTAAGATTAGAAACAAGGTTTCTTCTGTGATGAAAATTCAGAGCTTCATGTCAAGACTCTTCACCATAAATTACAGTGAACACTGACGGCAGACTGCCTCAGCATATAGGCATGTCCCTTTGGCCTGACTGATCTCACTACAAATCCCTGAAATTCATTGAGAAGTTGCCTAGCCATTAAAATCAACGTCTTCATTGCACAGAAGAAGATAATCAGCTGCGTTTTAGAATAATGCCACTGCCCACAACGTGATTTGCAGAGCAGAAAATTTAAATGAGAAAAAACATTGCACATATGAAGAAAACATGGATGTAAAAGAAAAACATGCTTCAAATTGGAAACATTCACAGGCACATGTGCATGCACATGCACACCTAAAATAAGGTTGAATTACAGCAACTGACAGCTACTGCAGCTGAGAAGATACTGACTAGGAAGCTTCCATTCCAGTTGATGCCTCACTTTTTTCGCAGGATTATCTGTGTTACATTCTCACCAAAAGCAGCAAAATCTTCCCTTCCATCCAAGCACTGAAAAACTAGTGCAGTTTCTTGGCACTGAATCACATGTGAGCTGGCAAATTCACATAAAAGCAGAAGAATCCCCAACTCTTAGCCACCCCAAAAGAGATTCCTCCTCCCTTTCATGCAGGTAACTGGGCTGCTTCCAGCCTTTTTATTGGATTTGCTTGAACTAGCTCTAATTACAAAACTAATCTCGTTCTTCCTCCCCAAAGATAAAAGCCAGTTTCCTGGCAATTTAATTCTTAACAGTTTTGAAGCAGAAGAATGAGCTCTAATGGAGAATGTATAGGTCCAGCTGAAGCTTTAAACAGACAAAATGTAAATACAGTGAATTTGATTAATTACAGGAGTCAGAGGCAGGGAATTTAAGTATAAAGTTAGCATATTAGCAAAAAAATTAGCATAAAACATAACGAGTTAAACTGAAAATTCAGTGTGAAGAATTTTTTCCATTTGACAGAAGCACCCAGGTGTGGCACAGTACTTTGTTCCAATACCATGACAGTGTGAACAAAAGGTGCCTGAACAGGGATATCTATACAATAACTTAATTTTTGCTCTCATGGTTTTGTGGCACTGCTATAATTCTGTTACGTTGCATAGTTTGGTTTTGTTAATTAATATTCTCAAATCAGCTGAACTTCAGAGGAAGTCACAAATTTCTCCAAGCTACCTCTGGTGGCTTCTTTTGTACAGGAAAAATACACCAATCAAATATGTACAATTCAGCATTCAGATTATATGAGAACTTAAATATTCAAAATAAAGTGTGTCTCTTGCATCAGACCCTAATGTTCTGATGCTAAGATTTATATTCGTATTTCACTTCAAACATGAGAATAATTCCATCATAAAATAAAATGCACTGTGGGGACAGCGACTGTTGTGTCACATAGCATACTTTAGGAAAATACGTTTTGCTTCTACTGGGATAAGCATGGGTAAATTCTAATGCAGATAATTTCACATTTTATGTTAAATAATAATTTTCATTTTAGAAGGATTTGCTTTTTTTTAGCAATGCCTAAAATGGCAACTGGCCATGTTACATCTCAGGAATACCTATCTGTTTACAGCTTCTCCCAGCTAGAAATCCTTATCAGGTGATTTAACATCCATGACACAGGAATGATTGCTGCAATAGGATTCTATGATATTTTTTGCAGACTAGACATATCCTTTGGCTATAATAAGCTTCAAAAATGTCAGTCTGACACCTAACACAGCTTGAAAGCACAACTTTTTCTGCTTATCAAGTTTGGGACCTGCAGGGAAAGCCAGGAGAATTCAGTCCATTCTAAACTGTTTATTTTCTGCCTTAGATTTTTGAAGGACTCAACAAAAGAATGCTCAAGGCAAGTTACTGCTCTTGGCTGACTCAGCTTTGTCATGTAAGCATACCTGCAAACATGACATATTTAAGTGCACATCTACAAAATGCAGCTATATTAATTAAATGCCACATATACTTACCTGATGTAAAAAGAAAAAAAAAGCAAAATAATTTTAAAGTTAGATAAATAACACTGCAAAAAAAAATTCGAAATCTCAGTATGGAATTAAAAGACCATAAATATGGAAATGAGTCTCTTGGTCCACCAGCACTCACCATTCAGCCACTTGGAGTTGTACTGGGCAGTGCGGAGAGGAGGAAGGGCCCCCAAACTGCGATAAATAGCAGGATCCCTTCCTGGAAAATCCATGGCTGTTGCAGCATATAATTCACCACTGGAAGTGAGTAGAGCAGTGGAGTTGTGCTGGGGACTGTAAGGACAACGAGCCATGCCACTGATTTGATCATGTATCTCTGTCAGGTTACTTAACTGTAAAAGAATGAAAAAGAGGGATTAAAACAACCCCAAAATTATCATTTTAGCCAAGCTGCATCAATCTGAGCAAAATCCTATCCTAAACACCAGTTATGTCCTTTGGTATTGCATAACAGTTATGATCTGACCTTTACATCAATCTGAAACTGTCTCATATAGAGTTTTACTGAAATATTGTCTGATCTCACTTTTGTCACTTTAATATGCAAAACATGCAAGTTAATCACATTAGCACATGATTAACTCAAAAATTAATTATCTGTACACAGATTGTTTTTATGAAAATGAAAACCAGATCTGATTGCTGGAATCAACTAAGGTATTTACTGTAGCAACTAGATAGATGATAAAAAGAAAATCTATTATTTGTTTTGTTGGTGTGTTCTAGGAAAGAATCTCACATGAAAAATGTGATTAAAAACCTGAGCTTTCCAGTTCACCAGAACAATCTCTCTGATTTAGTAGCCCTAATACTTTCAGCCATAAACCACAGTATGATGTTAATATGTTATTCGAAAGTGAAGGTACAATAGGTTTAAATATGATAAATGTGCAAAGGAGGTTTTGGTGATACAACTATTCTTTGTATCTAAACGCTTCTCCCCTCCTGAAATAAATAGCCACCTTAGTCCAAACAGTGACATTTTGATTTTTATTATGACTATTATTGATCCTTAATGGACTCTCTTTCTTTGATACACATAAATTACAACTCAGGTTTTTTTCAGATACAGAATGACAGATCTTTCAACCAAGATTTCTCATTCTCACTAGTCAAAAATCACTAATTCAAGTACTCTCATCTTCTCCAGGACTATGCATACACAGTATGCAGCTACCCAACTATATTTTACAACTAAACCAGTTGATGCCTACTGAACTTGACACAGCGGCAGAAGTTTTAGAAATACCTATGGTTCATGAAAATTGGCATGTAGGAGGAACTGAGCTGCTGGTAACTGTTCTCTCCCACAGCTGACGATACGACTGCAAAAAGAGATCACTGGTTAACTCCTCTTTGACCTGTCACTAGCTAGATCAGCCTTTTACACATCAGCTCACCCATCAATACACAAATAGCCTGGACTCAACCACAGCAGCCTTTTAATCTGCTGGCTCAGAACAGGGACTTGAGCTTGTGGAACAGAACATTTAACTCATACCGTCCGATTAGTGCAGATTGGAGTGAACGCATTGGTTCCACAGGTGAAGAGATGGTTGCCTCCAACAAGAAGCACTCGAATGTAGTTCTGGCACTCCTCCTGACACAGAGAAAAGAAAGAATATATTCAGTGATGCTTCAAAGCATAAAGGAGACTAATTACAATTTGCTTTCCATGGTTATATGTCCACACATAAAAATTTAAGTGAATAAGGCTTAAGCCTTAAAGTAACAGTTTAATAATCATTATATATCTAGTTTTCCTAATTTCAACACATGCATCCATCAATCTGTGAAACATGTTTAACAGGATAACAATAGCACTGAAGATTTCTTCTAAGTGTATATTTCAAGGGTTAAGCTAAACTCTGAAGAAAGAGATACTGACTTAAATAATATACTGCCATGCCAAGAAATCAGATGCTGGCTTTGAAGACAAATCAGGCCAAGGGAAGAATTCATAAGGAAAACAGGAGAAAGAACAGGTTGGAAATAACATGAGTATGTTGAAACCAGAATGAATAAAATTCTTGCGATGTTCAGATGCAGATATGTCACTATGAGTTTTATAATTTGCATGATCTGTTTTATTGGAAGCATCTACATTTCTGTTAATTTGAAGTTTCTAAAGAAATTTCATTACCTCAACACACAGACATTCACCCCTGAGGAGTAATTTTACATGTTTTTTATGCCAGTAGGATGTGCGAAAGCTTTATGATGTTCATTTCCCTCATTTCAGAAGCAAGAAAGCAACAGCAATTTCTATTGTTTGTTCAGAAAGAAAGCTTTCTTCTGCAATACTAAGAGTCTCCCAGAAATGTATGTAGGAAAGATGAAAACACTCCAGTGAAAATCAATGTCCCTATTGATAAAATGACCAAAATCAACAATATGCTTGGAGAAAATAAATCTTCCTGGAACCTTCAATTTGAATGCTCTCTAGCATCCATTCACAAGATAGTCTCACATAAAGCATTAAAAACACTTGTGAAAATACAGCTACTCAACTCTAACAGATATTAAGTGAAATCATGTAGTAAATCCATGCAATAGTGATGTTGCAGAAGTCCCATTATTTGGTCTACACTTATATTAAACGTATTCCTTGTTTATCTTGAAAATAGCCTCTCATCCTGGAAGATAAGAAATATAATCTTGAATAAATTGAACAGGCATAAAATAGACTGCAAATCAAGGTGGGCAAAATACTTTACAAATCTCTGAGAAAACTCTCAGAATTTATTGTCTGTACCTTTCCTCATAAAGTTTAAAAGCCCTACAAACCTCCCCACAAAATCTCAGAAAAAACCTACCTCTTGAAAAAAATCTCTCTCAAAAGTCACATTTGCATCAGTCTCTCATGAAAATGTAGCTTTACATGCTTTTCTTTGTTAAGGCAAATGTCAAACATCTTAGAATTAAGATTTGATTCCCACTGGGTAAAAATACAACATCATAGAATCATAGAATAGTTAGGGTTGGAAAGGACCTTAAGATCATCTAGTTCCAACCCCCCTGCCAGGAGCAGGGACACCACGCACTAAACTATGTCACCCAAGGCTCTGTCCAACCTGGCCTTGAACACCTCCAGGGATGGAGCACTCACAACTTCCTTGGGCAACCTATTCCAGTGCCTCACCACCCTCACTGTGAAGAACTTCTTCCTTATATCTAACCTAAAGTTCCCCTGTTTGAGTTTAAACCCATTACCCCTTGTTAGGCCTACCACTACAGTCCCTAATGAAGAGTCCCTCCCCAACATCCTTGTAGGCCCCCTTCAGATACTGGAAGGCTGCTATGAGGTCTCCATGCAGCCTTCTCTTTTCCAGGCTGAACAGCCCCAACTTTCTCAGCCTCTCTTCATATGGGAGGTGCTCCAGTCCTCTTATCATCCTCGTGGCTCTCCTCTGGACTTGCTCCAACAGCTCCATGTCCTTTTTATGTTGAGGACACCAGAACTGGACACAATACTCCAAGTGAGGTCTCACGAGAGCAGAGTAGAGGGGCAGGATCACCTCCTTTGACCTGCTGGTCATGCTTCTTTTGATACAGCCCAGGATACGGTTGGCTTTCTGGGCTGCAAGTGCACACTGCCTGCTCACGTCGAGTTTCTCATCATTACCTTTAAAAAATTACTTCACTTCTGTGCAGTTCCCCTGTTGAAAGTGGTTTTAACTACACTAAAACAAACTACAACAAAAAGAATTGAGAGCAATTCCTTTTTCGGGGGG